TGTTAACAGAGTGTGAATTAATGAAGAGATAATGAATGGGTGTTCGCATTTTTTTGGGACGAATCATAATGAGAGGTTTAGGCTATTCTTGTACGCAGGAGCGTTTGACTTTTTGTTGGCTGTTGGTACGGCCATGCTGTGCTACTGGGCTACCCACTGGTTGTGCAGACCACACCCTCGTCCATCCAAGCAACTGGTTACCAGAACCATCCCACGCGTAGTTAACATCCTCTTCTTTTACGACACGATGTAAATCCAAGGTACAAGTATTTGCTCAATTGAAACACCTCCATGATCAGGCTTCTCTTAATATGTAGATTCCTACATTTCGTAGCTTTCGGTTTCAACGTCAGCTTGTTCTGCTGACTACTTCATTAAAGCTGATCGACAGTGGAATAAATGACCAGAAGGGGTAAGGGCCGGATTGATGTAGTCGGTTGTTCGAATAATATCTAAAGTCGTGAATCTTACTGGCGGGGAATTCGGTGGCCTGACGCAAAAATCAGATATGTTCCTGGGCATTTTCAGGCGATATTTGAGGCATTCCATGTCAGAAATTACTTATGGATGCGTCTCAGTCCTGTATATTTAATTAATGTTTATAGCCCGTTTCTACATTGTGTTCGTTACGTGCAAATACCCGTAAATTCTGTGAAAAGTGAGTCTTGTTAGTTTTATATTTATTTCCTTTATTGTTATTTATTTGTGCGATAAATTAGGGGCGTCTTTAATTTTTTACTGACAAATGTTTTATGATCTAAAAACGAACGTTTAGTGTCATTTTTAGAACCTCATTCCTGATATATATGTCACTATCAAAAGACGAATAATAATAAACCAAACAAATATAAAGTATTTTATCGTAGTGAATTGATTTACTAGGTGAAATTGTAAGTATATAAAGCCCAAAATAAAATTAACGTTAAAACTAATTGTACGTACATGTCGTAAATAACATCCCATGTTATTGCGCGTGTTAGAACATTCTAAGAACCAATACAATTATTTTATTTAATAGAAAATGAGGGAAATATACAGAAATTTGAATGCGTGATGACGACAGTAACTAACGAACAATCCTGCAGTTATTAATGAAAAATAATCCTAGCAGATGTTTTGTTGTATTTATGATTATGACTAGTATATTCGGCACCACGACGTAGCCGGGGACATTTTTCATTAAGCTAATAACGCTGGGCGAAGGAAGTTTTGTGTGGAGTCTATTCTGCTGAGAGGACGACGGACTACCTTTAACATTTGAATTATGTGTAATTATCTGGCAGGTTGTTTTTAAGGCAGTCCAGTTAATTTATACCCAAATAATTTTATTTATAGTCGAGGGCTTGACCATTATTAATTTTTTTTTTCCTTTTAGATTTTCGAGCGGTTAATTCAGAGGTGGCAGATACGTAGGTAATACATTACCCCCTCATGTCTA